GTTGCTGCGCTTGGAGTCGCTCCCGTTCGAGCGATACATATATTTACATATAAAACACATATTAGTACATACCAACAAATCTTTCGTTGCCTTTCACTGAGTGAGTGAGGTTACCGGCCCAAATTCCCCCTCTCGCTGACTCGAGCGAGAGCGACTCCAAGGGCAGCAACGCACTTGTGACTATTGAGTTGCAGGTGTCCATGGACAGCGGTTGTTGCTTACCATCAGGTGACTCGTCTGCTCGTTTGCCCCCTTATACCATAAACAAAAACTACGTGGTTAACTAGAAGCTTGTGTGAAGGTATGACGTGATTTACATAGAATTAAAATATTAATTATTTTCCCCAATATTATTTTAGAGAATTTTTCTTCTTACATACACAACACAGGCTCTTAAAACCTTTTACTATTCAGCAGGTTTTTTTGGTTCAGTTGCTATAGAAGAATATAATATATCTCACACATATATATAATATATCTCACACATCTCACACACGGCCGTCTGATCCCAAACTAGGCAGAGCCTGTACTATGGTAACCAGACCGCTGATAAACATGCTTATATATTTTTAAATACATACATATTATAGATAAATTACACCCAGACACAGAACAAATGACCTTGCTCATCATACAATATTTGTCCTGGGTGGGAATCGAACCCACGACCTCCGGCTTAGCAGTCAGGGTCACTAACCACTAGACCAACAGGCCCGTCAGAATAACTAAACCAGATATATCTAGATAATTCCGACACAGGCGGTAACTACCGACCAATCATCAATTTAGTTCGCGTTACTGACGTCGTCGGTTTCAACCGGATATAACCGGATTGAGCCGCCCCAGGCTCAGTGACAGACGATTTATGACGGATTCTGACGATAGGATGGCTGAATGATGGCACCATGTACGGGAACCTATTTGTACACATTGTTGATTGTGGTCACTTTATTACGCACGTATTATTAATCATGAAATAGGGATGGCTTACTAACACACTTAAAGAAACTCAAACGCAAAATATCTTATTATCATCATCATCAACAGCCTTTAATAGTCCACTGCTGGACATAGGCCTCTCCTTAGAAAGGAGGTTTTGGCCTACTATACCACGCTGGCCAGACGGGTTGGTATAGGGTTTGTGTCAAGTTTTCCTTCTCTTTTCAGTTTTGTTGTCCTGCATAGTTTTCTCCCTTAGTCGGTCGATGAATGGGAGCGGTGACAATCCGTATTCTTAATCCGTCACCACACGGACAGTAAATTTCAGTTTTAAAAGTACATTAAGTGAAACATTGTTCATCATTCTCAGCATTTATTATACAAGTTACTTACATTCATACCTACATTTGTTTGTAAAATCATGCTCTCAGATCATCGATATATTGCTGACATTAAACACGCGAATTGAAATCCGGACAAGCCGCGACGCATTCAGAATTACACATAATCACTAAATTCTATAAAATAAAATAGTGTACCTTTGTCCAGAAAATCCCCTGAACATACATGAAACGGACACAAGGAACATCCAAACTCAGAACAACAATTTGTGGATTACACAAAGTATTCGGGATCGAATCCACAACGCTCAGGAAGCAGCGAGGTGACCGCTCAAACCACTACGCTGTCCAAACGCCATTGTAAAACGCTTACGGATAGCGTAGTGACAGATTTTATTTTAATATTATATCAAAAGACTCGATGGAATGTCATCAGAATGGCTTTGCATTTTTCGTATTCTACTATGTAAGACCAAATCCCGATGCCTTGTCACTGAACTGCCACTGATACAAATGTCGTCGATATGTTTTGGTAATGGTTAGGTAAACGGTACATTTAAATTTGTAAGGAAGTGATATATTTAATTTTCCAGATATGGTAATGTTGTTGATATCACTATTATTTTGCCTCTAGAAAGAGCTTAACGAGCGATTTTAAAAGTAGCCTCCTCTCCACCTTTCCTATTTCCCACAACTATATTATATAAATCGTGCAAGGTGATGACTGTCTACCAAATTTTCATATATCACACAGTACTAAAACAGCATACATTACTTACCTATCACGCTGATATTTCTAACAAAAGACGAAAAGATGTAGTCTGTACCTCACAATCAGACTGAAAGTTCATTTATTCAAATAGATTCTCACCTTTTCTAGGTCCATGTCGATATATAGAGGTAAGTATTTATAAATTAAATTATATCATCTGTTAAACACATTACATAATTATTTACAAATTTTGTCGTATGAGCAAACTGAGCAGTTACTTAAAATATGTAAATAAAAATTTGCTGAACCGTCTTAGTGCATTATTTTTGACCCACTTATCATTGGTGTTGCTAGTTGCTTATGTAGGCTATTAGAATGTTATAATTAAACTGTAGTTATGTAGATTTATATTGATAAAATAGTTGGTAAGCACATCTTCGCCCGAGACACAGGTTCGACCTAGTTCGGGCAAACAAACAACAACTGTATTTCACTTATAAATTAGAGAAAGATTTATTATAAATTATTGTACTCTTTATCTAAATAAATAATAATAATTATTATTACTATTGATGAGCCATTGTGACTACATCGATAGTCTATTGACACTGCGAATTTATGTTAGTAGAATACCGATATTTTCACCGCTGTCAATGGCGTCTCAATAGCGCGTTAATAAAATGACAGTGACTGGCTGACTGACTGGATATAGCTGGAACGCTAAAATTGAGGCCCTGGTCAGATGGTCTAGTAGTTATCAATCCTGATTGCATTTGATCTGTGTTTAGGTATAGTTTATTTATGTTTAATATGTAAATGTTTACAAATATATCAGTACGTTTATCTGATGATCAGACCATGAGTCGGATAGCCATGCTTCGGCTTGGCGCCGAATTAAGTCGATTTCCATTTAGTATGACTATAATTTTCAAATTCAATATCCACGAATTTTCCAAACAATATTGTATTTGTCTGTGTCCGCCCGTGTAGCCGTTTCCAAGTAAGCCGCTTCCATATTAAGTAAACAAGTGATGTTACTTTAGGTAACCTAGAAACATGAGATCGACGTCATAATGTGTATAGAGGGTACTCTTGACCTGCTTGCAAACGCGAGCTTGAATAATGAGGAGTTGTTTCGTCAGAGCCGTTGTGCGGTCACACTTTGCCTTTTTATTGTTGTTCACTACTTATTGTACCTTTTTTTTCGTCAGTCAAAGCTATAGTGAACAAGGGTTACGTTTTAACAAGATTCTGGGTTTTATAAATGATGGGTTCAGTATGTCCTTCAGGTATTCAAAGACAAGATGATTATAATAAATATTGGTTTTTGTGGCTTAGGAGACAAACGAGCTGACGGGTCATCTGATGGAAAGTGATCACCGCCGTCCAGGGGCACCTGTAACTCAAGAGTGGGTTGTGTTGCCCCCTTCCACCCCAATAATAAGGTGTGTAATAATATTTAATATTTCGAACATCGGATAATATTTAATATTAATCACAATTTACTCAATTTATTTATTTACACAATTTACAATTTAATCACTGATAAAACTAAACAATAAAATACACCGTAACAAAATATTAGATACACATATTTTACGTTGGATAAATATTTCTTCATTTTTTTATTCTCAGTCAGATTTTGCTATGCAAATTATAATCATTATCATCATCATCAGCCTATCGCAGTCCACTGCTGGACATAGGCCTCTCCCATTGCACGCCACTTAGATCGATTTTGGGCTTCTCGCATCCAGATCCTGCCAGCCATCTTGCCCAAATCGTCACTTCACCGGGCCAAATTATAATAATTGCCATTATTCGTAAAAGTAATGTCTGCAGTCCTTGTGAGCTGTACTTTCTTTCTGGACGATAAGAAACGTCTGCTGCATCGTCTGTATTCATTAGATAATAATACTAACAATTTCACACATATTACGACTGCATCGGTAGTTCAGTGGTAGCATATGCTACTGCTGTTCTGAGGTCTCGGGTTCGATTCCGGGACGAACCTAATGTTGGTATGATCTGCAAATATTTGTTTCGGAGTTTGGATGTTTTCTATGTATAATATGTATGTATTTACAAAAAAAAAGTATAAAAATATTCTATCAGTCAATCTAGCTTTCATAGTACAAGCTCTGCTTAGTTTGGGACTAGATGGCGTTGTGTGGATGTGGTACGATATTATTATTATTTTCTACCCGAGACTTCGCTCGCGTTGGGTCAATTATTGTTAAAAAGGCCATATGCTATTCCAGACTATAATCGATCTCTGTTGCAAATTTTATACTGATCCGTTCAGCCTTGTTTGAGTAACAGACCTTCATAAATCCATTATCGCCATTTTGGTGTTCATTAGATGTACATTTACGGTTCTTTATTAATTTATAAATAATATGATTCGTAAATTTGGTATGAGCTCTTTCACTTTGCCTACCTTGCTTTTGTATAAAACTACATTACTAGGATTGAATTTATCCTAACACATTTTAAATGCTCAAACATTTATTACTCAGAAATAAATATTTTTAATTTCAATAACTGTATTTATACTCGTCAATGAAAGATAACGCAATTGAGAATGCTCAAACATTTTTAAGTCCGTTGGAAAACATGTCGTTTCTTAGATATAGCAAAAGGAATTCATAATATTTAACAATAACGAGTATTTTCTTTGTATCGACAAAGAACAGTATTCAAGATAAGAAATAACTTGAGTCTTTTATGTTTAATTTTTTCATCAGTAACTTGAATTTATTAGAAAATATTTTGCCGTTTTATGTTTGAACAAGAATGCTTTTGGATTTTTTAACGATGTAGACAAAATGAGTAAAAATATCGAAGGCTGATGCAACAACATCGAAAAATATATTTAACATTCATTTTTTGTAGAAGAATTTGAGGTAGAAACCAAAATATCACAGATGTTATTGCTTCTAATTAAAACTTTGAACCTTGCCTCAACATGGTATTTATGTATTCCTATAATAGAAAATTGTGGTAGAATGCAATTAGTTAATAAACCTTTGCAGATTTGTAAAGGGAATTGGGCACCGGATAAAGATGTCACTGGCAGCCGTGGTTACTTGCTTAATCTTGCTACATCAACTTATAGACAGAAGAAAACCTGCCAATACACTAACACACACAGACATTATCACGAGACAATATTGATCTTAAGTAGATATTGCATACTTCTCAAAACTTGATTTGTAATTAAAAAAAATATGGAAAGGGGGCAAACGAGCAGTCGGGTTAACTGATGGAGGATTCATGAGGGACTCAGGAATCACAAGCGTGTTGCCGGTCTTTGAGGAAGGAGTACGTTCTTTTATAGAAGGTTTGAAGGTCGTTTCGGTCCGGAAATAGCGCAGACGATACCTTGTTCCACAGATTGGTTGTGCGAGGCTAACAGTGACTTGAAAAGCGCACAGGGGTGGTGTGCCAATTACTCAGTTTTCTCACAAGCAGATTAATGCTATTCTCAACTCTGAGAGTCCACAAAATTAAAAGATCAACGTATTTTAATTGCTTCTGCGATCACATAGCTATTTTTTTCTTACTAAAATTATATAGTTTCGCATGATTATAATTACGTTTGATACTTGATCATGAAAGTTATTGTAATTTGATCAGGCTTGTCTTTGCATATTTGATACTACTTTAAATAAACCTTTGTTTTTGTTTATATGATCTTGCATTCTGAGTTCAGATGCATCTCATCAAAAGTGCGGTCATTTTTATCTTAGCCGGTTTTAACTGAAACATGTGTCATAAAAAGTTATTTGCTTTTATACTAGTAACGGTGACTGGAATTATATTTATATTTACAGGTAAGACTTCATTCAAAGTTATTTTATTGTGATCTTATTAAAACCCTTGTGGCGTACACTGCTTTTAGATGCCCGAATCATTCTATTCGTTCTTCTCAACCACCTAGGTGAGAGGGACGGGCCTGTTATTCTAGTGGTTAGTGACCCTGACTGCTAAGCCGGAGGTCGTGGGTTCGATTCCCACCCAGGACAAATATTGTGTGATGAGCACGGTCCTTTGTTCTGTGTCTGGGTGTAATTTATCTAAAATATGTATGTATTTAAAAATATATAAGTATGTTTATCAGCAGTCTGGTTACCATAGCACAGGCTCTGCCTAGTTTGGGATCAGACGGCCGTGTGTGAGATGTGTGATTATATTATTATTAGTATTACTTATTTCTGGCCCAGAATGTCCATTCTAGACGGGAATAACTGTTTTAGTTTTGTAATGGGAGAAGAGTGATTTGTTTTATCAGAACATACAATACGATTACGCCGTTTAGCCCATTACTGTATAATTTCATTCTCATTTCTAAAGACATTTATTTGGTTTTAGATGCCAAAGTACTCCCTAAAACGTTACCCTATAAACAACATACTTCACTGAAGTGGACGCCTGTGCCCTGGCTTGGAGTTCTAACTCTTGGTGGACAATGTAAGTGAGAATTCCTAAAATCAGTGAGGATATTCTAAGACTAGTGTCTTTTTCGTAACATGATCTCTGTTATGGTCCTCACCGTGTATTATACATATAATGAGGTGAATGAGATACCACAGACATACATATAATGAGAATTATATGTATGTCTGTGGTATCTTCTTATTGTTTTTCTTCTACTATTGATCTACGGATCCCAAAATCACAAGTGCTTTTGGTAGACTATTTGCTGAATTTTTTTGCTGTTCAAATTTGAATGTTGTTTTTTTTTCTTATTGTAAGGAGTGTTGTTGCTTTAGTGAACTACTCAAGTTAAATAATGAATGTAGACATTAAACTTCTATTTTTAAAATCAAATTCATTTCCAAAATCTTTCGTTCAATATAAATTGCAGATTACGTGCATTAAGACTTTGGATTATACGTGACTGTATGGATGGCGTAGTGGTTTAAGCGGTCGCCACGCTGCTCACTACTACGCTGAGTGCTGTGGGTCCGATCCCCACTTTTGACGACACTTTGTGTGATCCACAAATTGTTGTTCTGAGTCTGGGTGTTCTTTGTGTCCGTTTTATGTATGTTTATAAAGTCAAGTCAAGATTTATTCCTAGTGCGGCAGTTGTCTTTAAAAAAATAAAACTATACAAGCGGCTAATATGCGAATGTTCTGTAGATCTGTTTTTTTGTATTATACAGAAAATATTGGATGGTAGGTATTTTTTTTCTCAACTAAATATTTAAAAGACCATTTATATTGTGTTGTATATTATATTTCAATATATATTTGTTTACAATCAGATAAGAACGAATCTATAGGACTGATTCCCGTGGTCATGATATCGGATAAAAAAGGAATTGCTGATGCGAGAAGCATGGCCTCGTTGAACAAGTACAATTGGGAAAATATAAGGTACATAATACCCGCCAATATCTACTTTTGATTTATTTTAGTAGTTTGTAAATAAAAGTAACAGTTGTATGGTGGGAGAGATATGCTTTAACACAAATTGGCCGGCTCGACCGGAGTAATACCACGGTCTCACAGAAAACCGGTGTTGAAAGCCCTACCCCCTGATTCTAGGGGGATTCAAGGCGTAGCTAAGCTCTTGTGCCTCTTTGAGTTACAGGTGTCACTTACCATCAGGTAAAACTTCTGCTGGTTTACCATGACCATTATGAACTTTACGCCATCGCTCCCAACGGCAAGACTTTCATCCCCACCACTTGGGTAACTGGCGGTGCAATATTGTGCGCTACTTCAACCAATCTGTGGAACAAGTTATCGTCTGCAGTAATCCCGGAGACCGATACGACCTCCAGACCTTCAAGAAAAGAGCGTACTCCTACCTCAAAGGCCGGCAACGCGCTTGTGACTCCTGAGCTGCAGGCGTTCATGGGTGGCGGTAGTCACTTTCCATTAGGTGACCCGTCTGCTCGTGTGCCCCCTCTAACATAAAAAAACTGGATAGAATCCACGACGCAGTAGGAAGTAGCGAGGTGACCGCTTAAACCAATACGCTGTCCGTACGCCATTGTAAAACGCGTACGGACATCAAAAGACTCGATGGAATGTCCTCGGCATAGTTTTAAAAGAAACATAAGAACATACTAGTTATAAATGGGAGTGTATGTTATGTTCCTGAACTAGAAGGTTCAAGGGTGCGTGCAATGCTTTGCTGACTGCTTCTAAATCTTCCATTAAGGTCTTTCTGAGTTACCAAACACTTTTTTAAGATTATACCCAATAGTTCTAGAATTCAACAATGTTAGAGTTATTTAGATATTATTGATGTGAAAACATCATTAATATCTAAATAACATAACATAACATAACAAAAAAACAAATAAAAAACCAATAAATAAATAAAAAAAAACATATAAATTGCAGGAATGACACATACGTGATGTTTTTGACAAAGAAAAGTAAAGCCTGGTACGCTAAAGTTGAAAAAATAATTTTACATCCAGAATACAATGAAGATACATTGACCACAATAGCCTTCTTGAATTTGGAATATGATTTGAAAAAGATGGAAGGTAAAAAGAAGTCCTATTTTTTTTGCTAATAAAATTGTTTTGCAAAGTTTTCATACTTTTATATATACGTATGTATACTCTTGCCTATGTCTCTGAAGGTAAGTAGAGACATAATAAACGTGTAAAATTTGATAAATATGCTTTTAGTCAAATATTAAAAATTGTTTATGAATCGTTTAGGTTGCTGTACTGTTCGGACTATTGCCGGAGTTAAGGGACTTAATCATGGCAAACTTTTAAATTGAAAGAAAATTTTGAGTGAATTATTACCGGGATTAAAGAAATTGCTTATGAAATTGAAGCTGGTTTACAGTACAGAATGCATTTTTGAAGATAGAAGGAAGTGGTAGGCTTTTGTCGGTTCTGAAGAGAGAAAAGACGCCGCTGCCGCCGCCGCAAACAGCATGCACTTACCTCCCTATTTTCATTTCTCATTTCACCGTCCTCACCTACTTACCTTGCTCCCTACTTCCGTTACCTGTCCACTAACCACGACAGAAATCTTCCTCAATTAATAATCTGCTTCTCTCATGTCTCTTACACAACTCCGACTTCGTGAGCTCATCGTTCTTTGTTCAAGCAGTACTACTCTGGAATGCGCTCCCGCTCGAAGTCAGGATGTCCACAAACCGCTTTATTTTCAAAAAGAACGTACATGATCTCCTTCTTAACGAAATGGCAGAACTATTTAATCCATAGTATACCTCATATTCCGGTATTCATAGTGTGTGAATATAATATGTCCATGTATCTATATAAATATAATTGAATATACACTGGTCAGCAAATAAACCGAGCCACCCGCTACCTAGGAACTCTGATTCGATTTTCTCAAAATTTCATGGTGATTAAAATGACTAAAAATTAATTCGAAAGTACCGTCAACTCACATTGTAATCAAGCAACAAACACAATGCTAACGATTTGCTCTGTTTTCACCAGAGTTTGAAATTAGCGTTCTTTTTCTCTACAATGAGGGTAGTCGGATATTTCTTATCATTTCTTTAGTTTTTGTCCCTCGTTTGCTCAGACGCGTGTGTTTTTGCTACTTTTTTTCGATTAATAATGGATACAACACCTCAGGAAGCAGCTCAAGCTGTAGCATTACTTCAAGCAGGCATTGCGCAACGTGAAGTCGCTCGAAGGCTTCGAATCAGCAGATCTTCGGTGCAACGAGTTTACAGACGATACCTAGAGACTGGAGCATTCGATCGCCGTCCAGGTACGGGTAGACCTAGGGCTACATCAGCAGCAGATGATCGTTATATCCACCTTACTGTTCTGCGAAATCGCCACCTCAACGCAGTTCAAGTCCAACAGTCTGCGTGACGAACGCCAAGTGGTCATAAGTTCAGATACCGTCAGAAGGAGAATTGCTGAACGGAACCTGACCCCAAAAAGAGCTGCAACAGGCCCAGCATTAACGGTAGCACACCGTCGAGCACGACTTGAATTTGCTCGAGAGCATAGGGATTGGACATTAGAGCAGTGGAGTAATGTACTCTTCACTGATGAGACCAGGGTGAGTCTACATGGAAGTGCTCGACGTCAGAGAGTATATCGTCGCCCTGGGGAACGTTATTCTCAGTGTTGCATTGAGGAAACTGTTGCTTATGGAGGAGGATCTGTAATGGTCTGGGGCGGCATCTCGTTAACAGCACATACAGCGTTAGCTTTCATCGAACCGACGGGCCGTACACGTGGACTGACTTCTCATCGCTACATTACTGAAATCCTCGCAGACCATGTGGTACCTTACGCAGTATATATCGGACAGGATATGCAATTGATGCATGATAATGCACGGCCCCATGTTGCTCATGTGGTGACCCAGTATCTACGCGACGTCAGCATTCGTACGATGGACTGTCAGCTTGAAGCCCGGACTTGAATCCGATAGAACACTTATGGGATGAGCTGAAACGTCGGGTTCGAGCCCGGGTACCTGCTCCAACAAGGCTTCCAGAGCTGCGAATCGCAATTGAAGAGGAGTGGAATACAATTCCTCAAGATTTTATCGTCGGGCTCGTAAGGTCGATGAATACAAGGATGCTGGCAGTTATCCGAGCAAGGGGAGGGAATACGGAATATTGATCAAAAACTTTTTTTTGATTTTATCTTTGTTTTTGGCTTTAATTTTTTTTTTCACTTTATCATTACTAACGATTGTCACGACTGGAAAACGACTCTTCTTTGTAAAATCCTTAATAAACACTGAAATATTGATTAAACCCAATGAGTTTCCTTTCATTTTAATCACCATGAAACGCACTTTCTGTAGGTACAACTTTGTTAATTGTAGGTTTTTTAGTTTTTGAGAAAATCGAATTACTCGTAGAGTGCCTAGGTAGCGGGTGGCTCGGTTTATTTGCAGTCCAGTGTATATGTATGTGTATAATTGTATATGTGTGAATCTATAATGTGTTGTGTTACATATTCTTCATTAATTACTTAATATATTAAGACTCAACCTCTATGCACCTACCTTATAAGATTTCTACACCACCCAAAGGTTGACTGGAAGCGAATGCCCAGGGCATTAAGTCCGCCGATGTATAAAAGTGCATAAAGTTAAAAAAATAAGCGTGTGTTATGTTTATGTGTGTATGCATGCCGCCTAATCTAACAAAATTTGATAATAGCACCCTGACAAATCAACTAAACTATTATAAATCCAGCTTGGCTGAAATAATTATATTAATAGCTTTGAACCTTAAACAAAATACTTTAAAACCATGGTTCAATAATTTCAAAGTCGAATTTAAATTTGTGTCAATCGTGATACCTAAATACTTCACATCATCAGTTTTATTTAAAGCAGGGCAAGTGCATGCAACGTCAGCTGGTGGACAGTTTTGTGCATAAATATTTAGGTTAGGTGTTACAATACTTTTGTTCCGCATTTTAAATGAAATGTATTATGTTTTCGCCGCAATTAAGGTTAGTAGAAGTTTACGAAGCCAATATGATACTTCATTAATTTCTGTGCATATTCATATACTTGGATGGGCAGCCGCGGTCTCCTTCTGCGAGGACGTTATGCTCCAGAAGGAGGCCGCAGAGCGGGATCGGGAGAGGTCTGATCCCACTAGAAGAAGGCAGTGAAGGGGACGCAGCAAAGGTCACTAGCTCCCCAGTCGCTGCCTAAGGGTCGCTGCGGCCACATCTTGGGGTGTACCTGTTACTGTGTAGAGCGGTAAGGGATCCGAAATAACCATCCCACCGATGGCTGGTATCCTAGGGGATTTCCGCACAATTACCATGGTCACCCTTTGATTTGTGGTACCCCACGAGGGCAGGGAGGCCTCTAGAAGCCGCCGATGCGTTCTGTGGGGTTTTGTGGGTAGACCGATTCTCCGGGAGTATCACACACGCTTCCGTTTTCTAAAACGGAGGGTATGGTGCGAAAAGCATTCCCCGCGTTAAAAAAAAGGTTTGTTTAACATGAGTTTCTAATTTGCTGACAGAGTCACAGTAATAATAAAAGACTGAGGTTTCAATAGGCACAAATAAATACCTACTTAGTACGCGGTAATTTAGTTGAAAGTTTGCGCTGTCGCACTCTTATTTACTTTTCCTCGTGAAAGTGTATTTTTTTTTCTAGTGTTGCAACTTGTTAGTCGATTACAGAAAAGCTGTGAGAAGTGGTTGGTTATTTTTCCGGTCATACATACATTCAATCAGAGTTACGGACGGTAATTTTGAAACTACCGTAACGAAAGCTACTGTTTATATCGTCTAGGCTTTATCGATATTACCGCATATCTTTTTCTTAAATTAGAAAAATTGAAGTGATTTAGAGTAATGATAAGCTGATTTAGGGAAACTCATCAACTGCAGAGCTTCAGAATAACTATAACCCGGCAATCGGCAGTCCCGCGGGGTGACAGACAGTGGCGGGGGCGAGGTAGCGCGTCATTCTAGCACACGGCTACACATGATTCCCTTCCCCGCTACACCACCCGCTACCCGCTGACATCTTGAGTCCCTCGTCCCCCTATGTCCAGCAATGAACGTCTTTTGGCTGAGAAGAAGAAATTTATAATTATGTGCATGTTGCAGGTAAAATGTTGAGATGGCCATTTAGGTTCAGCAATGTGACGCAAACAAATACAGAAGTATTTGCGATTGGGTACTCTAACCGTGAGTATAATTTTACTCAGTTATATAACGAGCTATTTCTGAGTCCTGACAAAATATGGTACCGTAAAATCACAAGTCGGGAATACGGGTACATGTTCAGACCTCTTTAGCCACTGCAGTCTCAACCCTGTTGCGGGTTCGAAGACAGCTTAACTTATCCTGGGACTTCCAGAGTGTCATAACTGTAAAATAAATAACATGTAAAAGAGTACAGTACAGGTACAGTAGTGGGCGTGTAGGAGATTTAGTCACATTAAAATAAAAATTTAAAAATAATGTATAGTTAAAAAAAAAAACAGTTAAAACTATTTAATTTATTTAATTTTAATCATTTTGCTTCACCACAATAAATAGTGTTTCTTATCATTTTGATTATTACAGGCAGTCAAATATTTGAGCAAATTCTCTTTCGAATGGACCACGTCAAGTTAGGAGAATGCAAAGCCTTTTATTTTGTAGAAGACGTAAGTAATTATTTTTTGGTCCTGCGATTACTGATGGGGATGAGTGATGGGACTATTGGGCAATTGTCAATAGAAAACTATTGTCAATTACCCAATAGTCCCATCACTTTTGAAAACTTTGGAAATATAATATACAATAAAAGAATTGTAAGATGTTATCATCATGTAATATATTTAATTCCCACCCGCGACAAATAATTATGTGATGATCATGACGACAAGTAATTTATTGTGTCTGGGTGTATTTAAAACAAATAGAACTAAATTAATTAAAACAACGCAGAACAATAGCATTGCAGAGAGAAGGAAAACTTGACACAAGGTCTATACCAACCCGTCTGTCCAGCGGGGTATAGTCGACCAAAACCTCCTTTCTAAGGAGAGGCCTATGTCCAGCAGTGGACTATTTCCACGGCCTCATAGAAAACCTTGGTTTGGTTGGAAAAAAATTGGTTAGGAAATCAACGGGCGGCAACGCATTCTGTAACTCTTGAGTTGCAGCCGTTGGTGTCCTTGGGCGGTGGTAGTCACATACCACCTGTGCTGAAATCCCCTCGGATATCACCCACCGGGGTGATTATGTCGGACTCGAACCGACCATGCCGTGCACCCCTATACCATAAAAAAATATATTTTGAAAATAAATTTTAAATACTATTACGGATCTAAACATAAAAGAAGTATTGTCAAAAAACTTTCGTGTGTGTTAATTATATTTTCTTACTTCCTCCGAGTCTTTTTTCCAAACTAGATTGTAGTCAGCTTAAGTCTACTAAGTATACGGTTGATCTTCAATTTTTTACGCGGATGGACTTGCCATCAGACTTCCACAACCCAAGTACTAGGAGACATCGAAGTTCTGTAGAAAGACTGTTCTTGGACTTTTTAGGTCTCCAAATACCCGTAACGATTGCCACGTGTGGTGACGGATTAAGAATACAGAGTGTCACCACCCCTATTCATCCCGTGGGTGTCGTAAGAGCCGACTAAGGGAAAAAACTAAGCAGGACAACAACACTGCAGAGAGAAGGAAAACTTGACACAAACCCTTTACCAACCCGTCTGGCCAGCGTGGTATAGTAGGCCAAAACCTCCTTTCTCAGGAGAGGCTTATGTCCAGCAGTGGACTATTAAAGGCTGTTGATGATTGCCACAGATATTCGTATGGCAATAGGAACCCGCGGCTTAACGTACTGTGTTATTCATATTGAATTATTTTCGTTCCAATAGTCATAATAATTTGTCAGTGAAATATACTGCTCACCGTTTTAAACAATATTCCTACTGACAGCTTGAATTATTCAAAACAGATTAAATATGACAAATATACGGATTTTCACGCTCATTAAATCGGCCCAGGGTTTTATTTGTCTGTTCATCATTATTATAACCCTGAACAGCAATATCTGTGGCAATATTAATAAATTTGAGCCTTTCACTTGATTGTCGATGGAATATTAAAAACGCGAATTCGCAATTATGGTATGGTGGTATTTAAAATGGTGGTATTTAAATGTTATTTGTACTTGTATTTCTAAATTAGTAAAAGCACCAATATAGCACTATAACACAAGTATTAATTATAACTGGTGTCTGGGCTCTATAATATAATAATAATAAACTCACACATCTCACACACGGCAGTCTAATCCCAAACTAGACAGAACCTGTACTCGCATCGTCACATCAACAGCCTTTAATAGTCCACTGCTGGACATAGGCCTCTCCTTAGAAAGAAGGTTTTGGCCTACTATACCACGCTGGCCAGACGGGTTGGTATAGGGATTGTATCAAGTTTTGACCGAGGAGGCCGTGAGCTGCGGCGGAGTGGTGTTGGCGGTGTCTTTGGACATCGCCAACGCCTTCAAAAGTCTGCCATTTAGCTACATCAGGGAAGCGCTCCACTACCACGGAGTGCCGGAGTACCTGAGGCGGCTGGTGGCAGACTATCTTGAGGAGCGAACCGTCATGTACGAGGACCGAGATGGCGTCTTGAGACGCAGGGCCATGTCGTGCGGTGTTCCGCAGGGGTCTGTCCTAGGACCACTCCTGTGGAACATTGGATACGACTGGGCCCTACGAGGGCGTCTCCCCCCCGGGCTGGGTGTACTCTGCTACGCAGATGACACTTTAGTCACGGCCCGGGGGGCTAACTTCCAGGAGGCGGCGGAGTTTCCCTGGTGGTCGGGCGCATTGAGGCGTTGGGTTTGCGGGTGGCCCTGGATAAGACGGAGGCCCTATTATTTCATGGGCCCCGTCGTGGTCCACCCGCCGGTGCCTCAATCGAGGTCGGCTCGGTCCTCGTACCGGTCCGGGCCCAGATGAGGTACCTGGGTCTGGTCCTAGACGGTAGGTGGCTCTTCGACGAGCACTTCCGACAGCTTGGTCCGAAGCTGGTGGACACTGCCTCCGCCCTAGGGTGACTTTTGCCCAATTTGGGCGGGGCCAGTGTTCCCACAAGGCGGCTGTACGCGGGGGTTGTCCGGTCCATGGCGCTTTATGGTGCACCGGTGTGGGTGGCGGCTCTGACCGCCACGAATAGGGCGCGCCTCTGGCGCCCCCAGAGGATATTGGCGGTCAGAGCCATACGCGGATACCGCACGGTGTCCACCGAGGCGGCTTGTGCCTTGGCCGGAACACCCCCGTGGGATTTGGAGGCGGAAGTGCTCGCCAAAGTTTATCGGCGAGTGGCTGACTTCCGGGCGGAGAGCGGATTTCGCCCTCCGCCCGAAGACGTGCGCAAGTGGCGCGAAGCCGCTCGCCGAGCCACCATGGTCAGATGGTCGTTCCGGCTGGAGACTCCACGCGCTGGCTTCGCCGCCGTGGAGGCTCTCCAGCCGGTCATCGCCGAGTGGGCAGGGCGGCAGCACGGGACCCTTTCCTTCCGGCTGACGCAGGTGCTTTCCGGGCACGGTTGCTTCGGAAAGTACCTGTACTCGGTCGCTAGGAGGGAATCGAGTCCCGCCTGCCACCACTGCGACTGCAGTGAGGATTCGGCCCAGCACACGCTGGCGGTTTGCCCCGCATGGGCGGCGCAGCGCCGGACCCTCACTGCAGTCATCGGAGCAGATCTCTCGCTGCCGGCCGTAATTCGCTCCATGGTAGCGACAGTTGTTTTACCGCGGTCGCAACCTTCTGCGAGGAGGTAATCTCGCAGAAGGAGGCGGCGGAGAAGGCCCGGGAGGACGACCTCCACTCGGACCTGATCCGCCGCCGGCGAACCGGGCGGCGGAGGCGCGCTTACCTGCGCCTCATGCCGCCCTGAGTGTGGCCGCGGGTGGACGGGATGGGTTCTCCCCTCCACCCGCATTAGTTGGCCAGCCGCGAGAGGGCGGCGTCCGCGTGTGCCGGACGCCGCCTAAAGAGAGGAAACTTTGAGACGGAGCCCGCAACAGGAGCGGGCCGGCGCTGGGAGGGGTCCAGAAGGCGATAACTACCTGGACCCCTCCCAAACTGGAAGCGCAAAGAGGGCACACCGTGTGGTTTTAGTCGGTTCGAGTCCGACACACCGCCCCGCCGAACGAGAGCCCCGGCGGGGTGACGGTCCGAGGGGATTTCCACACGTAAAAAAAAAAAAAAGGGATTGTATCAAGTTTTCCTTCTTTTTGCAGTGCTGGTGTCCTGCGTTGTTTTGCGCCCTTAGTTGGCTCTTACGACACCCACGGGATGAATTGGGGTAGTACACGGACAACGGGAACCTGTACTATGAAAGAAGAAAGAAACAAAGAAAACTTTTTTTTTCATTTTATAAGGTTTGCAAACGAACAGACGGGTCACCTGATGGTAAACAACTAACGCCGCTCATGGACACCTGCAACTTAAAAGTCACAAGTGCGTTGCTGACCTTGGAGTCCCTCCCGCTCGAGTCAGCGGGAGGGGGGATTTGGGCTCCGGTAACCTTACTCACTCAGTGAAAGGCAACGAAAGAATTGCTTAACACCGGTTTTCTGTGAGGCCGTGGTATCACTCCGGTCGAGCCGGCCCATTCGTGCCGAAGCATGGCACTCCCACGGTAAAGAAAAAGAATAAATGGTTGTTCTTCCTTTCTTTCTTCTTTCATAGTACAGGCTTTATCTAGTTTGGGATTAGACTGCCGTGTGTGAGATTTGTGGACGTAAGACCATACACTCACAATAAGGGAAACTTAATACTAGGCTTAAGCAAAAATATTTTTTTACGTGTCAGTCGAATAGGACCTAGTTCAGCGTCTGCTTGACAGATATCAAGCGCTGGTTTTCAACCAGACCTTTTAATGAGTGACGGATGTAAATCGGCCTATGCAATAACAAAAAATTAAATAGTCATAAGCTAATATGAACTATACTTTAAAGAAAGCAAAGGTACATATCATTAGATAACTTACACCCAGACACAGAACAAATGATCGTGTTCATCCCACAATATTTGTCTTGGGTAGGAATCGAACCCAGGACCTTCGGTTAAGCAGTCAGGGTCACGAACCACTAAGCTAACAGGTCCGTTAATATGTATGTATTTAGAAATATATAAGTATGTTTATCAGTAGTCAGGTTACCATAGTACAGACTCTGCCTAGTTTGGGATCAGACGGCCCACAATCACACACGGCCGTGTGAGGTTTATTTACAGAAATTAGTTTTATTCAATTTAAGAGTTATCAGTGTATTTTTTTGAAAAGATTATGCCTAATAAGTGGTTACCGCAATTCTAAGTATACCATTCTTAAGATGGGACATCGAAACATTCATATATAAAATTAAATGGTTTAAAAAATGCAACAAGTTGTTTATTATTCCTGAATCCAGTAGGTTTATTTTTTATTTTAGCTGGATACGAAATGGATGCGTCCAAAGCACTATCATTGTTACAAAGTTCGTTTTAGTAAAGAAACATGTGTTTTTGAACCCGGCATGGCGCTAGTACAATACGCTGATGGAAAATATACGTTGGTGAGATTTCACTTTTTTATTCAAGCATCACATGAAAATATTATGAGGGTTCGTCACTCATAAGTGGGGCAAAAATAAAAATAAGTGGGTGAAACCTTTTTTTCTCCTAAAGCAATAACGGGTTGAATATTGGGAAAAATATTGTTTCCTCGTTTGGTGCGAGATTTTTTTTAAATATTAGGTACATATAAATTTGGCGTTTTGTACGGGTCATCGAATCTAAACTCATTTTTTTTTTGTAAAATATATTTAATTAATCAAAGTATGCACCGTTGTTATCTATGCGCTTTTGCCATCTCATAGGTAGCTTATTGATCCCTTGGCTAAAAAAACCATGGGGGCGACAATCAATAAACTCTTTGAAGGCGGTTTGGACTGCCGCATCGGAGTTGAGTTTTTTCCTTGTAAGAAGTTGCAAATTCCGGAAAAAATGGTAATCTATTGGAGCAAGGTCCGTGGAGTAAGGTCGATGTCGCAGACATTACAATTATGGCTTATCTAACTTAGTGGTTGTTTGTTGTGCAGTGTGTGCTCTTGCGTTGTCGTGAAACAGCAGTGGCCTAGAGTGATTAACCAATCTCGGTTGTTTAGCAGCTAGTTCTTCCTTCATGGATTGCAGTTGCTGACAGTAGATATCTGCCGTAATCGTTTGGCCAGATTTTAGAAAGCTATAGTGAACGACAACGGCGCTAGTTTACCAAACACTCACAAGTAACTTTTTCTGAGTCGATTTTCGTTTAGGGCAGGATTTGGGTGGGTCTCTAGGGTTCAGCCATTGCGACGAGCACTTCCGATTATCGTACAGTATCCACTTTTTATCACAAGTAATGATTCGATTTAAAATTTCCTTCATTATTGTGTCGGTTGAAGTAACACAGCAGTCGACGCGTATTTGCAAGTCCGATTCACTCAATTCATGAGGTAAGTACTTATCACCCATCGTTCAAGTTTATTTACTTTCCCGATTTGCTTCAAGTGGATTAATATAGTTTTATCACTTACCCCAAAGCCTGCAGCTATCTCTGAAGTGCTTTGTGATCGATCCGCTTCCACTAGCCTAGCTAGCCTATAATTCTAATTTTCCACTTTGGTCTCCGGCCGTCCATTAGGTTGGTTCTGAAGGTCGAAATTTCCAGAACGAAAACGTTGAAACCAAAAACGTACCGTGCTTTCTTTTGCGACACCAGCGCCGTACACATCATTAATCCTTCGAGCTGTTTCTGCAGCACTGGTGCCACGGTAGAACTCGTACTCGTAAATATATCGATATTTCATGTTTTCAGTTTATAAATTTGAATTTGTAATTCTTTACCAAGAGATATTTCAGATCAAAGTGGTCAGTACGACCAAACGCTAATTTCATATGTAAAGACCTAATATAATGCAATTCCTTCTAAGAATTTCTGATGGGAATAATCAATAAATAATTTTCTTAATCAGAAAATTAAACCCAGATTTACAACATTGCATGAAAACGTGAGTTAACTGTAATAAACTTACAAAATTAGTTCCTTTGGAACACTAATAAAAATATTTTCATCGACATATTTGAGCTAGCGTGACTGAAGTGAATGGTATTGTAGTGGCATATGCGAGCAAACAAAGCAAAAGTATCGGAATATTTGAGCCGGCGTGACTGACGTGAATGGTATTGTAGTGGCATATGCGAGCAAACAAAGCAAAAGTATCGGAATATTTGAGCCGGCGTGACTGACGTGAATGGTATTGTAGTGGCATATGCGATCAATGTATCGGCATACTTGAGCTGGCTTGACTGATGTGATTGGTATTGTAGTGGCATATGCGAGCAATGAATCGGCATATTTGAGCCGGTTTGACCGAGTAATATGAATTTTTCGTTGCTTTTCACCGAGTGAATGAGGTTAATGGAGTAACTCCCCCTCCACTTCATTTTTGGGGGAGCAACACTTAAATAGCGTGGCGGTAGTCACTTTTCCTCGAGTACCCTGTCTGCTTGTCTAATTCTTCTTTTCTTTCAAAAAAAAACCTTCCAGGATCTTACTTATACTAAATCTATATCTTCTACTAAAACACCATTATCATCATCTGCTAAAACAACATGAAGTCAACCTTTTCCAAACATTTCAGATGGGATTGAGTGTATGGGGACCAGGGTGTTCGCTACCAGCTCGGTTCGTGGACTTTGAACCTTTCGTACCCTGGATCATGTCTAATATGGAAACTCGGCGTAATTATTGGCAACCGGAAAGTATTGGTGTACGGCCTGAGAAGTTTCGAGATAAGTGGATGCTGTGGAGACTTACTGACACCAGTTTGGCTTTGAGACCGCGTAAGTACTAAGACTTTTTGTTCCGACACCCGACAAGTAAAATAGGAGAATGGAGAATGGAGAATGGAGGAGAATGGTTGTATGGTATGGTATATTAATATAGTGTTTTTTTTGTTATGTTAGAGTTGGCAAACGTGCAGACGGGTCACCTGATGGTAAGTGACTATCGCCGCCCATGAACGTCTGCAACTCAGGAGTCACAAACGCGTTGCCGGCCTTTTAGGAAGGAGTACGCTCTTTTCTTGAAGGTTTGAAGGTCGTATCGGTCCGGAAATACCGCAGACGATAGCTCGTTCCACAGATTGGTTGTGCGGGGCGAAATGTGTATAGATCTAACTACAAATTATAATTACTTTTAGACCGTTAGTATGTACTCCTGACCAAAAAAGTTAATGAACAAGATCTTAACCCACCCTGAGACACCACATAATGTCTTCTTATAAACATTTGTTTTATGTAAAATAATTTTTAGGAAAAACATCAGCGTCATCTTCATTACTATCTTGGTATTCACACCTACAACCATGAGCGGTAATCAAGTCTCAGCCACCTAACATTCTTGGACTCATTATTGACAAAGGATGCTGGCAGCTATTGCTTATTTCGGGTTACTTCTGCGCGCTTATTTATATCTCATATAAATATTATTATAGTCAAAAAAGTATTTCTTCCAGTCCAAAAGTTCTTCTCCAGTCTTCGTTATAACATGCAGGAATCTAACGGACTAATTGGGGACTCTGCCACAGTACGACAAACAGCACCTCAGTAACGCACGCGGACTTACTAAGGTCAAACTACTACTCACTGGAACTAGCGTTACTTAGTTTCGAGGCACTTTAATGATTCATTACTGGCACACGCAGGTCAGGAAGATAGCATAGTCGGTCTTGGGGATAAACCAACTTAAACATACGCAAGCCGTGCTATTTCTACATCACGTCATCTGACTTATTGATAATTATATTCTAGTTAACCTGATAGGCGATCAAGAAATAGAAACAGTTCATGGTCAATGTGATGATGACAACATGAGAAGTGATCAGCTCATTTACAAGGAGGTCACAGAGTTCACTACCAGACGGGGCTTAAATCGGAGGGCAATAAAGGCTACTGCCGTATATGGGGTAAGTTTACAGCAAGCTTACCTTAGGAAAGAGTTGGATTCCACACGTTAAAAAAAAAAAAAAAAAAAAAAAAAAGAAAAGAGTTGGATATACAAAGTTTGTCAAAGAGACCATTGCTGAGGGTTGGATCGAATTCTATAAATTCCGTTAGTTCTTTACTGTTAAAATGAGTTGGGTAATTAATGTGGGAGAGCTATGCTTTGAAACAAAGGGCTAATTCTCTTTCGGAGTTATAACACTGCCTCACAGGAAACTCTCATTCATAGGCAATTCTTTCGTTGCTATTTTTCATCATCATTATCATCACGTCATTGAAATAGCAGAGGAATTTATGGGCTTCTGTTAAGCACTAGTTTTTTAAGTTTTAAAGAACTTAAGGAGGAAGCAGCTTAACCATGTCCTTTCTCTTGCAGCTATCGTTATACGATCGGAATTTTAATAAAACTCATTACACTTGCGTTCAAGTGGTTGCCAAATGCAGTCAAAAATCTGACAGCAAATTGGAATACTCAAAAGGTTTTGAAGAGACAGATATGTTTCAACCTTATGTTAAAATTTTACCCGTAAACCCTTCGTCACACCAAGATGTCTACCCACCATATGTCCATACTATAAAAGATGCATGGGAAAAGTATGAGTATGAAGTGATTGGAACCGATATTACTCATCTAATCTTCAGATTCGAATTTGAAGTACAGGGCCTTATTGAAGTGCAGTTCTTTGGGAATCGAACTGATGCGTATCCACCTATCGAAACAACCAGTAAGTTTTTACTATTTTACAATAAAATGATATTCTTGTAATTTTAATGTTTATAATACTCTTAGACGAAAATTACTGGTATGGTAAAAAATGAAAGAAATAGATGTAGAATGTGATGGGTATTGCAAAGCCATGACGATTTAGTGATCCGTTTGTAATATTAGTCTTTAAAATACTAAACGAAATGAAATACCCAGGAAATAGTCAGATTACACATATTTATGTATTGTTTGTCTTGGATTTATTTGTTTTTTTAGTTAGTACACCGTTGTAGGAGGAATTTAAAAACTAGCATTTAAGTACTTAGGTTATTATAAATTGAGCGGAACGCCTACAAACTGTTAGAACAGTTTGGCGAATGGAGAAGTTGTAAAAAAATGTAAATTAAGTGTGATTAAAGTTTATAAAAAAAAAAAAACTAATTTTTGCTAAAGTAAATAGCCAAAATTTTAGCTTGTTAACTGTTCGCCTCATGATAGTAGTATGAATAACGAAATCACTAGAAAAAAAATGACAAAGAATAAGTAAGCGCTGTTAATTTAAGAGTTGTAGTCGCTCAACAACTTAGAAAATACAAAATCTTTGACAAATACTTGGATGACACTACGCACTCAATGACCTAGTAGGTATAGCTTTTAATAGTTAAACAAATAAGTTAAGTAAATAAACAAATACCATTTGATTAAAAATATCAGCACATTTAGATACAATGAGTTAGGATAAAAAAAGTCATTCAAAATTAACAAAGCGTAGATAAGAACAAATGCTAAGAGGCTAGTGGATAAGTGGTCAGTGAGTAGATAAGCACATTTTGAAGTTACGAAACCATAGAAAGGTCAGTCTATGGATGGGTGACCATTATTGTCACATTGAGACTACTCCGTGTCTCGGAGAGCACGTTTAACCGTTAGTCCTGGTAGCCATACGAACAAATGTGGCAATCGTTACGGGTATTTGGAACCCTAGAGAATCCGACAATAGTTTATCTACAGAACTTCGGTATTGCCTTGTACTTGTGTTGTGGAGATCTGATGGCAGACGCTCCACGTAAAGAAATCAAAAGAAAGACGACCCCAAACATGTTTGGGCAAAGGCTCGGCTGATGATAATGAGATAAGAATGAGTTCTGATCATCATATCATTGACTTACATTGTATTTTTGTTTTAGCTAAGCTGGATTACCACAAAATTTACAGCTGCACTCGGTGGCGTCGACCGTATAAAACTCGTACACTCAAGCCCCACCGACCGTACATTTATAAAGATACATGGATGTGGTTTGTTAGTTATGACCTCACAACAAAATCCAAAACATATAAGAGACCGACATCCACGACGAGAAGAACAAAACGAAGAAAAGCACAAAACGCGTCAACTGCTTATTGGTGGAATAAATGGTGGTATTTCCAGACGGCGGGACCGCCATTCCTGGACAAGGATTGGTGGAAAGGATAGATTAATAAGTGTAAAAAACTTGATATGTAAAATTGCTATCGTAATTGAAGAAGTTGGCCTTGAGATCAAAAATGATCACACAGCAAAGATGTAAGTGTAACCTTTGCTGTGTGATCATGTTAATGAATTATATCAATCTGTGAATCAAGTTGTGGGCTGTTTTTTTTTTTTAATAAATATAAAAATGTTTCTCATCTAACATCTTTGCAACAGACTCTGAATCCAAGATCAGAAATAGTGCCTATTAGGAAATAAGAGTAAGACCAAAGTAAGTCAGATAATCAACATCATCGTCAGCCTTTAACAGGCCACTACTGGACTTAGGGTTTTCCTTAGAAAAGAAGTTTTGGCCTACTTTACCTTCTCTTTGCAGAAGTGTGATTGTAGTTTGTTCCATTCTTGGCTAAGTATGGCTCTTATGACACGCTTGGCATGAATAGGTCTGATGACACTCTGTGTTCTAAGGAGTGTCTGAAGTGTCAGAGAATCACTGGTTATCAAATGCAATGTGTTATAGTATTCCAAATCGTTCGTTAGTTCAAAGAAATTATAAAAAAATGCGTCAATCCTGAACATCCTGATCAGGATAATCGGCCAAATTTATCAAATTATTCCATTGTCATCGGACTTTGATAAATGTGCGTTATTCCAATTTAATGCGACGTTTTGAAGTGGGTCAAAATCACATTCGAAGATTCAGTTCCATACATACATACCAAGCTAATATAAACCCTTTTAAAAAAAAGTTGAACCGACTTCAAACAACACCGACAAAGAGCACTAAAAATTAAAAAATAATTACAAATCTAAGTAAAAAACTATAATAAGTACCCTCAATGTAACAGGTAACATTATAATACCAATAGTCCCTTCTAGTCTGATTGAAGTCGGTGCCAAGCCAAATAGGTGCTTGATAGGCATGGTAGAATGTAGCGCGGCAGCTGCAACAGTCTTCATGCTGCGTAAAATATGTTAAACGAGCTAAAGTGGACGCACATCTCCAATTATATTATTATTTTGAATGCTTTAATAAGTAGTTGATAAGTTTGCTCACGTAATTGATCTGGTTGGTCTTTATTAATCAACAAAATCTTCGATGTTTCATTAGAATTATTTTGAATTCTTAATTTTTCATTGTGCTAATATAAAGCTGACATAGACCAGTATTACTTATTGTGCATCGAGCTTGGCACCGACTTCAAACAGACTAGAAGGGACTATTGGTATTATAATGTTACCTGTTACATTATAATACCATGTCATGTATGTTTGTAAAGTCCCCCGCGACACAGGATATATTCCTAATGCGGGAGTTGTCTTTTTTAAAAGAAAAAACTCTCAATGAAGTCGGTAACATATCAATTTGCCTGTGTCCAGCAGTGGACTATTACAGGCTGTTGATGTGATGTGATGTGAAACAATTCTATTGAACTTGTTTTATTCTGAGAAATTCCTCATTTGAAAACATTATTTACAAATATGTGTTTGAAGTCTCGTCGTCGGCTTTCCAATCCAGCTCACAAACAGAGAAATTAAAAAGGCTATGCTATTTATATGATTTTAGTATTACTTTATGTTTTTACAAGGGAAGGGGGTTTAAAACAGGGGTGTTGTAAGTTTAACGTGTCTGTCTGTGGTATCGTACCTTCTAAACGAATGGTTTGATTATTATTGGCGTTTTATTTGTTAGAAAGCTGACGTCATCGAGATGGTTCTTAGCTATTATTTATGAAGATCATCAGATCATCATCATTGCTTAATTGACCAGGGTCTCACTAACTTACACAACTTTAGTGGTATTGCCATGATATCGTAATGTTGACTTTGTAAACTTTGCATTAGTACTGGTGTCCAAATTTTTACACGCTTTTTATTAGCTTCGCCTGTATGTTCGTTTGTAACCGACTCCTTTGGGCGTGATTTTGACTGACTTTAAACGGTCAGATTTAGTTCAAACTTTGTAGATATATCGAGGACCGATGACAATACACCAATTTAAAAAATATATTTATAAAAAAAAACATTGGTTTAAAAAAACTAAAAAACACGCTTTTTATAGAAAACCAAACTGAACGGTCCGTGTGGTGACGGATTAAGAATACAGAGTGGTACCACCCCTATTCATCCCGTGGGTGTAGTAAGCGCCGACTAAGGGAGCAGGACAACAACACTGCAAAGAGAAGGAAAGCTTGAAACGAACCCTATACCAACCCGTCTGGCCAGCGTGGTATAGTAGGCCAAAGCCTCCTTTCTAAGGAGAGGCCTACGTCCAGCAGTGGACTGTTATAGGCTGTTGATGATGATGAAACTAAAAAAAAGAAAATATTTTTTAATAAATTTGAAAAAAAAAAGCGTTGGGTGCATGTTGTCAATAGTAAAAAGCACCCCACGCTTTTTTTTTCAAATTTATTAAAATTTATTTTCAATTTTAAACTAATTTTTTTTTTCATATGTTACTAATAATTATAGTAACCCACCTCCAGACTAAGCTCAACATTGAAATCACGAAAACTATCAGACAGATACTAATATAAGTAAGAAAATATTAATTAATTTATTTAATTCGGATCACCAACAAGGCATACACCTTACAGTGAAATTAGTCTCGAGAAATTTTTGCATATGTCGTGGTGTGTATATTACTCAGATCTTAGAGCGCGTTTCCACTATATCGTTCTGGCCTATACAAAAATGTTTCGATATCCTAACATTACTATTTAATTTTATACTTATCCCTAGCAACACTCTGATTTTTGTTTTCAATAAAAACAAGTTTTTATTTTAAAGAAAAAGGTTTTGACTTTATAAAAAAAAAAGGTGTGTGTGCGATTCACACACGATAGAAGTGAAACTTCAAAGAGGAGAGACCGATATTTAAATTTTTTTTTTTTTTCCTTTCATCTAGGTTTTTAAAACTCCCCAGAGTTTTAAAAACCTAGATGAAAGGAAAAAAAAAACGTCTACGGGTCTACGGTCTACGGGGGGGTCAAAATTTTTGTTATTTTTGGCCTAGGACGCACCGTTTCCGAGATATTTCAATCTAAAGCAAAAAATCGTCACTTGATAGTGGAAAGTGGAAACACGCACAAAACCAGAATAAACCAGTTTACGCTGTCCACTACCATACACTACTACAGACGCAAAAATTTCTCCAAGGTAATTTACCTGTACATTCTATAATGATATTAGGTTTATAAAGTTCAAGTTAGCGTGCTTCCTTAGTAGGCGACCACATCATGCAAAAAATTATACAAAATAAAACAAAGAAAATAAATTTTGCAACCGTTTTGGTGATTAAATTTTCCGATTTTGTCGTTTACATATATGGAATACTATTTTCCTACCATTGTCTGTCCACCTTACAAACTTTTTGTTTCATATTGACTCCCCAAAGCCATCTACTTTGCTCAATACGTCTTAGTAAAGGATTTCGTTGATGGCTATGACAGCATCGGAATCTTTTGGGAAGAGCTCTCAAAGCGAGGTGATACGACACACGGCATCTTATTGGCGGGAACTCGGTATACTCGTTTACCGATATACTATAAAGGGAGGGGGGGAGGAAAGGGGGGGAAACTAACTCAGTGATGGTTTTGAATAACGTTTAACAAATCAAATGAACACAATTTTACGCTTAAAATATATATATATTTATATCTATCTAACACTCAACGCCATCTAGTTACAAACTAAGCAGAGCTTGTACTATAAAAGCTAGATTGACTGATAGGATACTCATATGCTTTTTGTAAATATATACATATTATACATAGAAAACACCCAAACTCCAAAACAAATATTTCTGTAACAGAGCATACAAACATTATGCCCGATCCGGGAATTGAACCCGAGACCTTAGACCTCAGTCGCTACCACTGCGCCACCGAGGCAATCGCGTGATGATCTTAAGGTGTGTTTTTTCCTAATTCCTCTTACCTAATTGTATGGTTAATATTCCGTTTCTAAGGGTCAATAACCTATCACTTGCCTAAATTAATCCTCTATCTAATACAAAAATTACTATTTAAATCTAACTGACAGTTCTAGACATTAGTGTACTTAAGTAAATAAACAAAGAATAAAACAAAAAAAAATCTTTACCTTTATTCATAGACATAGAAAAACTCATAAAGAATTTTGTCAAAAAATTTGTCATAAAGGAATCTTAATGCATGTTTAAACTAAATACTTTATTCAGTTAAATATTGCTTACAACTTATCAACTTCTTAAGGCAGTTTTCCAGCGATTTCTTCATTAACAATTTAAAAGAAACGCAAATTGGTAATTGGTATGGATGACTCAATGGAGTAATTTACTTAGGTAGCTTATAGACTTAAGTTTTTTTTATGGTATAAGGGGGCAAACGAGCAGACGGGCCACCTGTTGGTAAGCCACTACCGCCGCCCATGGGCACCTGCAACTCAAAAGTCACAAGTGCCTTGCCGCCCTTGAGTCGAGTCTCTCCCGCTCGAGTCAGCTGGAGGAGGGATTTGGGCTCCGGTAACCTCACTCACTCAGTAGAGTGGATACTTTAATTCTCATTTCCTTTATTTCTTCTTTATAACAGTTTTGCTAAAAAAGTGAATACAATTCATAGTCTTCTGTTTTTGAAATTTTGAGATACTGTGATTACGTCACAGGGTAGTATGTCATATTGGTGTTTGAGATCCATTGGAAGAACCATGTTTGAAAAGTCTATCCTTTCCACCATTCCTTATGATCTTTCTCATTGAAATGCCACCAATGATTCCACCAATATGCTGTGTTGGTAGTTTTCTTCGTCTTAGCTGTTGTTGTTGTTGTTCCATTTGTACTGGTTTTGGGTCCTTTAACAAACCACCAGCCGTCGTAGTAATAGTCAGGTGCAGGTGTTGTCACAGTCACAGTCGTATGGGGTCTTAGCTTTCGGGGAGTGGTTGCGACTTTAACTTTTTCTGTTGTTGTTGTTGTTGTTGCTGGAAAATAGATGGAAACATATAGATTACCATTAACGTTATATGTGGAGTAAGGGAGGTCCTACAGCACTCTGTATTTGTCGTTCACCATAAACATCACAACTCTCCTGCATTTCTGCTAAATTTGTTTATTAATCGGCGTAATATGTAATATAGATAAAAGATTTAGGTTTATTTCTTTAATGGCAGGCCATCTGTCTGACACTCCTGGAGAATGTATAGCACTCTTTTTAGTAACCATTAGGTGACTCGTTTGGTCCCTTTACCAGAAGAATCCTGCCTGGTGACCCACGACTTGACTGTAAATGTTGGGAGTTGTATATTCACTATACAGCATGGGAATTTCTATACCGTGATTTAGGTTTAATATTTATAGTAGATAACTTTTAAACCTGAATCACGTTATGAAAGTTCTTAGTTCGTTCATGTGGTCGTGGCTTTTTAATGCTGCTATATATCGTTATATGTAGCGTTCACTTTAAAAGCTTATGTTTATTCACACATCACACATCACATCAACAGCCTTTATTAGTCCACTGCTGGACATAGGCCTCTCCTTAGAAAAGAGGTTTTGGCCTACTATACCACGCGGGCAAGACGGGTTGGTATAGGGTTTGTGGCAAGTTTTCCTTCTTTATGCAGTGCTGGTGTCTGCGTTGTTTTGCGCCCTTAGTCGGCTCTAACGACACCCACGGGATGAATTGGGGTATTGACATTCTGTATTCTTAATCCGTCACTACACGGACAATACACGGTTTATTCTTCGGTGGAGTTAAAATATAAGTAGTAGAAGAAGAACTTACATGTAGATTCAGTTGTAGGTTCTGTGCGTTTACCAAAGAAATCCACTTCAAACTGGGCATTTGTTTCGAATTCAAATCTAAAAATCAGATGAGTGATCTCAGAGCCAAGAATTTCATAATTATATGTTGCCCAATGTTCCTTCACAGTGTGGATATAGGGCTTATAGACATCTTTTTGGAATGAAGAGTGTGGTATAGGAATCCTTTTAATATATGGATCTAGAGGCGAATGCTCTCCGAAGCCTTTTGTGAACTCAAGTTGAGAATCAGATTTTTGTTTGCATTTAGCCAGAACTTGAACACAGGTATAATTTGATCTGTCGAAGTTTAAATTGTAGAGAGACAGCTGAAAATAAAAGGATTATGTAGATAATTCCTCAGTAGCTTTGATTTAATTAGAAATGAGTGGTGCCCTGCCCCATAATGTACTGTAATATATACAACTAGCGTAGTAAAATATCTTGTCTTTCCTCAAGACTAAAAGTATCTTCATACCAAATTTGATCTAAATCGGTTCAGCAATTATTGTTTCCCCATATAAACTTCCACCCTCTTTTCGCCCCCTTAAAGGATGATGTCGGGGATAAAAACTACCATATATCCGCTTACGGGACTTGGTCTATCTTTATACCAAATTTAATCTAAATCGGGTCAGCGGTTTAAGAGTGAAGTGGTAACAGACAGACACACTTTTGCATTTATAATATTAGCATGGATGATATAAGGTGGTCAGAAAGCTTAATATATAGAAAGAAACTTACTGCATAAACAGCTAATAAACGCATATTCAAAGAAGGGTTCATATCTGAGAACTCTGTAACCTCCCTATAGATGAGTTCACCATCTGTTAAGTCATCACATTTCCCGTGTACTACCTCCTTCTCCATATCACCAGCGGTATTTGGATCAACTGTGAACAGTTAATATACAGAATACATAAGTATGCACTTGCGACAAGTCAAGTGACTTGTCGCAAGTTGTTCTTACAGACATACATACACACAGGTCTTTATTGACGACGGACCTGTTGATCTAGTGGTTTGTGATCGTGACGGCTAAGCTGGAGGTCTTGGGTTCCATTCCCACACAGGATAAATATTGTGTGATGAGCAGGGTCATTGGTTCTGGGTCTGGGTGTAATTTATGTAAAATATGTATGTATTAGGAAGCATATAAATATGTGTATCAGGAATTCGGTTACCATAGTTCAGGTTCTGCCTAGTTTGGGATCAGACGGCCATGTGTGAGATGTGTCCAATTATTATTATTTATCCATAAAGAGGAAGACACAAGCGTACTAAACGTTATAGAGGTAGAGCCCTTTCTTAATAAACATACTCATATTTTAGATAAATTACACCCAGATAATATTTGTCCTGGATGGCAAGTTGTCCAGAATATTTGTCCTGAATGGTTAATCATCCTGGCTTAGCAGTCAGGATGGTTAACCATTAGACCATCAGGTAGGATCTTGTAATAATTTTATAGGTCAACATTTGAGAGATGTATATGTTTATATGCCTAGGTATTACAACAATCAGAGTTAATGTAAACAATAGAAACCTATTCGCATCTGGTCTCACCTGTCACAGCTGGATAAATATAGAGTCTTCGCCTACGAAATATTTATATTCTTACTTAGGATCGCTAACATAACTTTATTATATTATATTACTTTGAACAACAAATATGCTATCGATAAAAATTACCCTTTTAATTTAAAATCAAATACTTACGTGGTCTCAAGGTCAATCCATTTTCGTCTGTGATTCTCTCAAGCATCCATCGATCTCTACCTTTACGTTCCAATTCCAGTTCATCCATTTCGTCCATTTTCCAGGCCCTTCGAGTTGGCCTTTTTGCCAATTTGGACATAATCCAGGGCACGAAGGGTTCAAAATCAATGTATCGAGCTGGAAGCGAGCATCCAGGGCCCCACGCACTTATTCCCATCTGAAATTATTATGAACAGCTTGGCCATTTTTATTACTTATTTTACAGCCATTTATTAACAGCAGGCTGGGTGGTTTTATTGGTACGAGTACCTACGCAAAAATTTTATGATGTCGGACTAACTGTGAGGGTATCCCATGAAACACAAATAGAACATACCTGGAGCATGACTATCCCAAGGTAAACAATGGCAAAATATTCTTATATTTCCACTTGAAGATTTTGGAAGTAACAACGGTGGGACATGTAGCGCTGATTGTTCAACATTTTACTCATAATTATGAAATTGTCTGTGTGTCTCTCGTTACTTTCAGTCCTTCTAAATAGCAGTGGTTTCGTGCCGGTATTTCGTGCCGATTTCAAGCTTCAGTTTAGTACCATAAAAATGGCTTTAATTCTTACCAGATAAAATTTCCCTTCAGCGTAGTAGACTAGAGCCATACCAGGCTCAAAGACACATGAATCCATGCTATACCGAACGCGATAGCAATGATAACGCTTCGGACGCAACCATTTCGAATCCAGCTAGAAAGGAAAAAATAATTTCACTGGGTCTTGACCGAGACGCAAAAAGAGGGTTACTTACAAGTTTGACGTGTCTGTGTGTCTGTCTGCGGCATCGTAGCTCCCAAACGAACGGACCTATTATGATGCGGTTTGTTTTTTCATAGGTTTATTTTTTCTTTTTTAGGATTTCTTGGGTGACGAATGGATCTTACTTACTTACTTATCTCCGATTGATTGAAGTTGGCGTACTGTTACATAAGTGGTATTTAAATGATGTGGTAACCTTGACCTCATACTGCAATCAAGGGCTGAGTTGATACTGATGCTCTATTTATTTTTAATTTGTGTTATTTTCTTAACTATGGGAGAGACATGCTTCGGCACAAATAGGCCGGTTCGACCGGAGTGATACCACGGCCTCACAGAAAACTATCCTCACAGATTAAGAATACGTAATGTCACCTATTCATCCCGTGGGTGTCGTAAAAGTTGACTAAGGGAGAAAACTACGCAGGACAAAATCACTGCAGAGAGAAGGAAAACTTGACACAAACCCTATACCAACCCGTCTGGCCAGCGTAGTATAGTAGGCCAAAACCTCCTTTTAGGGGAGAGGCCTATGTCCAGCAGTGGACTATTATAAGCTGTTGATGTGTGATGTGATGTGATCGCTTACCTCCTCTTCAATATAAAACCTTTGACAGTCATTAAATTTGATATTTTCCATCTGATATATTGTTTGCTCCAAAATATTATTACCTGAGAAAAATTGTACTTACATTATAACGACGACATTTTGATAAGAGGTCTCCAGTCGAAGGTGCAACAGATGAAATTAAAATATACAGTAACCATCATGAGGTGATGGCACATACGGATCATTTATATTTGGAAAAGGAACTTTATGGTTGCCGATTCTTGGATTATTTACCTTGTTGAAACTGTGTTGTAGAAGAAGTACAAACTTTCATTTCAAGCACTTTCGAGGTTTTCATTTTAATCCTATCTGTTATAGGTGAGGTTTCTATTTTTCAATTTATTGTAACTAAGAGGTTTTAAGTGAAAATTAGAAATCACATAAGACTTCAAGGTAAGAAAAGAAGTGTCCACTTATAAACTAATAGCTAAACTAGACTCTTTTTTTTAAAGGCAACTCCCGCATTAGGAATTTATCCTGTGTCGCGGGGGATATTAAAAACATACATGAGAGGGACATAAAGAATACCCAGTAAAAAGTGTCGTCCCATGTGGGGTTTGAACCCGGCGTAGTTGGAAGCGGCGTGGCGACAGCTTAAACCACTACGCCATCCATGCAGTCTTAATAAAAATAATTTTGAAGGAGCTTGGCAAACTTTTTTTATCTTAAGTGTTAGGCCATCTCTTGGGAGACGACATGATACAGGACTGACTTCTAAAATAGTTGTCGTTGCTATAAAGCATTTCCATGGTATGAGACCAAAGCAGACTTACGGTTTGTGTACCCAATAGTCAACACTCGACCTCTATTGGTGGAGGGATTGCTGTAATTAAACCACATCAGTTTATCACCTGCAAAATTAAACTATATTAATTCAAAATTCAACCATAAAATTGTTGCGTATTCGTCATTTGTTGGGGTACCACCCAAAAGAGAATTCGGTAAAACCATACGTTGATCCGTCACGAGTGCTTATGTTCGACATTCAAAGAAATACCCAGAAAGGAACTACTCGGATCGCCGATAGGCATGACTACAAAATATATCCGCCTAACACTTATGGCCAGCAGTGGACTATTAAAGGCTGTTGATGTGACGTGATGATGTGTGACATAGTTTCAGCTCGTAAGTGAGGGCCATGTTAAGGCTAGAAACACGCGCGCGGAACACGCCTCACTGCTGTTTCAAACTTATTTACTTCTGATTCAGCACTGCGCTATTTAATAGCGCCTATAGAAGCGGCCATTAGGTGTACTAAGCCGCCTGGTGCGTCTTCAGCTGAATAGAAGTGCGAGTTCTTCGAAAAGGTCGTGACTACTTTCACAAGAATTCATACACTGTTCGTTCATTTATCATTTGAAATCATATCTGCGTGTACGAGTACATATGTTTATATATTCATCATGTGCTAATAAAGAATCTCTTACGCACTTGCATTCTTGGGTGTATTTATTTTAGACAGAGAAGCCGTTTTTGCATCCCTTACAGGCAACATACATGAAACGGACACAAATAACACCCAGACTCAGAACAACAATTTGTGAATCACGCAAAGTGTCGTCCCATGTGGGGATCTGATCCACAGCACTCAGCGTAGTAGTGAGCGGCGTGGCGACCGCTTAAACCACTACGCCATCCGTGTAGTCATATCTTCTTCTTCTTCTTGTTTTGCATAGCCTCGTAAGAAATTAACAATCCATGTATGTATGTATTTTACCCACCATTACATTATGTTATTATGTTATGTTTTACAATCAGTTGATGAATAAGTCAATGATTAAGTAATCACCTTTAAACTTAAATTCTTCATATTTTAAACTTAGCAAGGCTATACTCGTTAAAGTCTCGTCAATATATTCCGGATGTAAAATGTAGCTTTGTACTCTTGCGTACCAAGCCTCCTTTTTTCCTGTCAAAAACATGACGAATGTGTGATTTCTGAAAAAAAAAAAAAAAACTAACTTCACACATCTCACATACGGCATTCTGATCCCAAACTGGGCAAAGCCTGTGCTACAGTAACAAGACTGCTGATGAACATACTTAAATATTTCTATAGATAGTTCAACTCAGTTGTGCGCGCGGCCCTATGTGTGCGTGGGCTTGTAAATATACAACTTTCATTCGTGTGGCAGTGACGCGGCAGTCGGACGACGACTGCCACACTAATGATATACACATACTAATACTAATGACATAGGGCCGCGCGCACAACTGAGTTGAACTATCTATAAATACATACATGTGCAGACAGAACAAATGATCGTGCATATTACACAATTATTCGTCCTAGGTGGGAATCGAAATTTTGGAAACGATTACGACCTCCGGCTTAGCAGTTGGTTATAGTAATGTGTGTGTATTGTTATTCTATTCTTAAGAGGAGGAATGGACGTAATGGAAGGTCCTTTTTACTCGAAGAAAAGACCCTCCGATTGAAGCGGTGGCTCCGACAATTTCCCAATTTCGAGGAGAAAATTTATTGCACAATACATAGTCACTTATAATGATCAGTGACTATGTATCGTGCAATAAATTTTCACTGTTCAGTTTGCTAGTTGTATATATTGCAACAAGTTATAGTTGATTTATAAATCTTTGAAAACATAATGTTTAAATCATTAGATAAGGATTTTTCAACGAATTACAAAAAGACTCGAAAATACACTTTTTTGTTATATATATTGAAACTAAATAAATTAAAACCACGATGTAGCAATCCCTTTTTTTCCGATAAAAAGACAACTGCCGCATTGGGAATATATCCTGTATCACGGGAGACTTTACAAACATACATGATACGCACACAAAGTATACCCAGACTAAGTACAACAATTTCTTAATCACACAAAGTGTCGTCCCATGTAGGGATCGAACCCACAACACTCAGCATATCTTCAGTGCTTATCGTGCAGTCATATCTTCTTCTCCTTCTTTAGATAGCCTTACAATTAAATCTTTCAACTTCATTAAATTTATTTTACCCACCATTATATTAAAAAAGATTAATGATGTTTTAGTCAGAATGTGTTACTTACTTGATATTTTCCCAATTGTACTTGTTTAACAAGGCCACAGTCCTTGCATCGGCAATTCCTGTTTTATCTGATATCATAGTTACAGGAATAACTTTGTTAATTGTCTCCTTATCTGAAAACATTTCAAAAAGAAGTAGAATGATAATTTAAAAATCCCTCTCTTTCAGAGCCAGCCATTCAAGTGCATATCCAGTACTACTTACATTACTTGTCCGTGTGGTGATGGATTAAGAATACGACACCTATTAATCCCATGGGTGTCGTAAGAGCAGGCTATGCAAGACAACATCACTGCAAAGAGAAGGAAAACTTGACACAAACCCTATACCGACCCGTCTGGCCAGCGTGGTATAGTAGGCCAAAACCTAAAAAAAATCTAAGGAGAAGCATATGTCCAGCAGTGGACAATTAAATGCTGTGAATGTGATGATGACTACTTACATTCTTTTCCAAATGTTAAGACCCCTAGCCAGGGTACAGGCGACTTAATCAGCGAATCTGAATATTTTACAATCCTTCTGTTTTGTCGTATAGCGGCATCTGAAATCACCCAGCAATTTAAAATGGTATGCTGGGAAAATTGGTATACTATACTATGGTTTTGAATGGATTGAAAATGGAGGGACTGTATGAAAGAGGATATACCTAGAAAGGGAGTAAGCAGTAAACTGACCAGTGATAGAAGAGAAAGGTATAAGAAAACTCTTTGCGAGGACCCTAATTAAATTGCCGAGAAGGGTAAGAAGAAGAAACTATATAGTACTACGGTTTGGACTTGTAATTTGTTTCAAATCTATAGTTCAAAGCTTTGTCTCCCATTACTTAAAGATAAGAGACCAAGCTTTTGTCCCGCAGTTATGGACGAGACTTCAGAGAGCCTAAAATAATGACATTGGTAAGTCACAGTCAAACTTTATAAAAACTTTGTACAAATTTTAATAAACGAATACTCTTAACGTTATTTATACTGCTTGTGTAATTGCCTAGTTTATCCATTTAAAGAGGCTAATTATTTTGACTTTGACTTTAGTGAGGCAAAAGATGATAAGACTTTCTCAGCAGTAACAGACTAATATATGTATTTATGAATAGATGTGATTTAAATGTGTTTAATATTATAATTTAATGTGTAAACTTATGTTATATCATAGTTTATTTACATGATATTTGGTTATTTTATTTCTATTTCTGTATATATTAAGTTGTATATTTCCATTTTCTTAAATTTCTCTGTACACACGACTCCCTCTTGAAGTACTGTCCTCTCTTCACTTATTGGTTTGCTGGCAGAGAACTCAATTTTGCGTTAAGCTTGCCTTTGTGCACACTATTTATTTATGTATTTTTTTCTGTTAATGTGTATATTGTGTACCTACCATTACTTAATTTTCAATCCAAAACAAAAGAAAAATTTTAGAATCAAAAAATTAAGAATAATTTTAATATATTCAAACTTTTTTGGTCTGAAAACTTTAAAAATACAATTTTCTAGAAGTTGCGTGCATGTCCCTTACCTGTAAATATAAATAAAACTACACCTGCCAACACTACACCAGATATATCAAAACTTTTATGGCACAACATATTACAATTTGTAGTGGTACTTACTCGAAGTATAGCCCAATCTCTTTTGGCAGATCAACTCGATATTCTCGATGAAGGACGCTATAAAAACAAAGATTGAATTACATTATTGTTTATGTACATTAAATAAATATATCATAACTATGCAAGCCTTCAGCTCAAATATCAACGCTGTTGGTGCCGAACATGATGAGTCATTTTAAACAACATAAAACGATTTAATTTAGTAGTAAACTCTCTTACATTTTTGTATAGTGCTTTTTATACCCAAGTATAGATACAACAGCCGGTAGTTAGAGTGAATTTTATGGGAGGCCAATGTTGAGTAATGGATGTCGTTCGACGGAGTTAGTTGCTTAGTTATTTAGGTACAGTCAGGTGACCCATCTGGTCATTTGTGCCCTGATACTGTTACTCAAAGTATTCGACTTTGTTCATTTAAACAGCTCTCCGGAGCCTTATAAAACTGGCTTACGACCTCATAATCAACGAGCATTGGCACAACGCATATTATCATCCAGCTAAAAAGCAACAAACCCAACGTGCCGGGTGATGGTGATAAGATTACCCAACCATTTATATAAAGTGTCTCAAGTAATTTCTGTGATAGAGATATGAATAAGTGAGGAAGTTAATGGTGTCTTATTTTTGTTTATTAGGATCAAAAAACAGCTACATGTTAAAGTTTTAAAGCTATATATAAATATATTACAGAGGTATAAACACATAACCCACATCATTATTCACGGATTAATAAGAGGAAATTTGAATGAAACAAATCAGAAAATTACTATAAATGTGCATGAGCGCAGACACTAGGTGCTTATATATAAATGTACAAGCACGATATATTACACATAAGTTCAGATCTAAGAAATACATATGATACAATATATTCGCATTCTGTTCAGTTGGCAAGGCGGTTAATAATTTAATAGCGTAACATTTAAATTGGTTATTAGAAGGAGCAAAGATATCAATGTCAGAGAAATATTTGTTGTACGTCACTACCAGTCGTCGAAGAGGTATGCAGACACCGGCGTCTTACTGTAATTATGCTAAAAAATGTATACCCTTCTGTAATGATATATGGGGTCTACCAATAATAAGAACGTTCTGGTTTAAAAATTGAATAAAACACACAATTTTTTATGAAAAATGCATCCGATTGATTTATTTGATAGATAATTTTATGCAATTTATGTTTTGAATAATATATCGGCCAAATGACCGCCGCAGCTCTTTTTGCAGACGGTCACCCGCTCACGCCAATTTTCGATGACGCGGTGCACCATTTCGGCCGGTATGTCGGCTATGGCTCGTCGAATGTTGGTTTTTAGGTCACGAATTGTAGCTGGATTATTGCTGGATGGTTACGTTAAATCTAAAGTGTACACTTTAGATTTAACGTAACCCCAAAGAAAATAGTCTAAAGGTGTTAAATCACATGATCTTGGTGGATAACTGATCGGTCCATTTCTCGAAATTAACGACTCACCAAACTTTCCACGCAATAATTCCATGTTAACTAGAGTAATGTGAGGTATTGCACCGTCTTGTTGAAAATAAAGGTCGTCTGCATCAATATCATCAAATTCCGGAAAGAAATATTCGGTTAACATTGAGTTATAGCGCTGGCCATTCACAGTAACAGGGTTTCCTTCGTCATTTTCAAAGAAATTTTGGACAATTTCCAAGCGTTGGTTTAAAGTGAAACGTGACATGAGAAAATGGCAAACCTTACTGAACACAAATGTCAAGAGACGTCAAAGATCCATCATCAAACATGGCCGCTATGAGCTGTCAAAACCAGGTCATCCCTATTGGTACACCCAGTACTAACAAATTAAGAGCTAAGCAGACATATGTTCTATGGAACAGTTGTCGGAACCATCTTGATTAAATCAGCTTTTAAGCAGATAAAGCCGCATCATAATCAATCAATTGCGTTGGAATTAAAGAAAAGACAAAAAATAATTGGAAAAACAAGCATTTTATTTTGAACACTCCACAATGTAGACACCGTACACATTTGAGAGTATAAACGAATATAATAATAGGATGCTTTCTGGCCATAGATTATCCTTTCCACCAGTCCTTATATCCCGTGGGCAATTTATCTTTGTGTAAACGCCACCTTTTATTCCACCAATTAGGGTTACTCGTGGTTTTTGTACCTTTACTTCTTTTCATTGTAGAAGTTGTCCTTTTTCTCGTGACGGATAAAGTTTTGTACTTATGCGGTATATCCAATAAACCATCTTTGTAATAGTAGTAAGGACGTGGAGGGTTCTGGGTTGATGTCTTGTAAGGTCTCGGCCTCGAGTGTTATCGTAAATTTGGATAGAATGTGCTGTAACAGAAATAAAGTGTAATTTTGTATGTTACCGCCGTCCATGGATACAGCTACAAAAGTCACAAGTGCGTTGACGCCCTTTCAGTTCCACTTCTCAGAATCAGGGGGAATTAGGTAGAATTACTTGGAAGTAGAATTAGGGATGGGGAGGATTTGGGCTCCGGTAACCTCACTCACTCGGTGAAAAGTAATGAAGGGTTTTCTGTGAAGCTGTGGTATCAATTCCGTCAAGCCTGGCTCATACATGTCTGAACATTTCTCTTCCATGGTAAAAATAAAACTTCAGAATATCTAAGAACAACAAAAATATGATCGCGTAGCGTAAGCTAAAACTTGGACAAAATATGCCAAGTAGATAAACATGAGATTGCTGACTTAAATTTAATAACTAATACCTAAGTTCCTGCCAATATTATTATTTTAAGTTAAAAGTAGCACCCTGCCACGCTTCGCTATGGCACATTGTGGTTCTATTAGTGAAAAATTACGAATAAAATTGACGTGAAAATCAGATAAAAACAAACATCGTATCAAAATTTGAGCTAAATAGGTGAAGAATTATTTGAGTTTTAGAAGCGCACAAACCAACTTAATATTTTTATATTTATAGAGATTATTTACTAGACTCTTTCTATAAAATTGATGGAATTTAAAAATCTCATTACCATCAATGAGCTTTTAGATTTGAGTAAAAAACACTTAGTTGTTGACTCAGGTGTTGGGTAGGCATCTGAACGACTGCCATAGAAATTGACTTCAATGTACGATTCTTTTTCAAATTCGAACTTGAAAATCAATTGTGTAACATCGCTTCCAAGTATTTCATAGCTGTAAGCTTCTGGAGTTTTCTTAATGGTGTATACATAAGGAGGATTGACATCTTTGTTCATCGAATATTGAATGGGTAAAGTTTTAAAAGAGCCTTGACCAACATCTTCAGAGGCTCGCGTTAGGCAGTCTAATGTAGAAAGCAGTTCTCCTCGATACGGCACGTATTGTGAGGAAGTTTCTGTCTCTGGAGTCCTAACCACCGATATCTTGGTCTCTGTACCCGATACCAATGGGATACTATTTTTTATATTTTTAAATGTATTTTTTTTTGTTTTTGGATATAAATATATTTAAAAATGTAATTTTTATGTGTAAAGAATGAAATAAAGATAATAATAATACATGTCACAC